GTAGGATTATCATGATTCATGATGTGATGATGAATACAATGCATATTATTAATGTAATGATGGTTACAGCTTGTTTAACGTCTAATTGAATTATATTTTTAAAATCTAACTCGTCAAGTTTTATAATGTATTGAATTTATTTATTAGGATTTTATGTTATTTGTATATTCTTTTATTTTTGTTTCTTGCCTGATACTCACGTTTTTCATTACCTTTGTCATATCTATTTTACTACTGCAGAGAGTAGTATAATGTAAATTTAGGTTTTAATGTAATTAAAATATTTCTCAGCAAGATATCGTGAATGGATAAAAACTTGTGCCTCTTCTCCTCCTTAAAAAAAATTAGCAAAATCCTAATACTAATACAAAAAATAATGCTAATTATATTTTTTTCTTATTGACAAATAATAGAATATATTGTTTTCGGAGTTTTCGCTATAAGTATAATTTTATTGTAAATTTAACACGTGTCCGTGATATTTTACTAGAATATTTGACGATTGAGACTATATTCTATTTCATTATGTTATTTTACGCCGTACGTTTTCTGAAATATATACCTATAGTGATGAATAAATTCGTTTTGATCTTATAATAATTAATAACACAATATTATACTATACTGGACAAGTTATCTATAGTGCATTGGCCAATAGTTATGATAACATATAGTCATAATAATATACCTATGTAATATAACATAACCTACCTATATATAATGTTTTGGGGCACTTGAATCACATGATTTGCTCATCCTCGAGTATGTTAAAGATCTATTTCGTTGACATGTGTTGTTATAATACTGTACCATGATCATGTAGTTACAAAACAATGTAATTTAATTTCCAAACAGATTTTGACCAAAAAATTGTATCTCTTTTAATGATCCTTATTTATTTGTCTTATCCCTATACTATTTATATCAAAACATTGATCATAAATTATTATATTTGCGATGGTTGAGACCTATTGTCGTATTTGTTTTTAAATTTCGTGTGAACCTATATAACAATTTCATAAATTAGAATACCTTGATGTGTGTCAGTTTCACCACGATTCAAGCTTGTATATTATATAGAACTGTAGTTACCTTACTACAATAATTTATATATTTATTGGCGCATGTCCGTTTCGATMGATTCGAGAAGGAAAACAAATTTTATTCTCACATATTACCGATTGCAATATTTGTTTTTTATACATATGATGATTATTTTGTTTATTGTTTATCCAATTCGTTGTTTTCGCTAGTTGGTCCTTGTGCGTTCGAATTATATTATAATAATATGCTCACTGCTTGCTTTGGTCGGCTTTATAATACACACAACGCCTTCGTCATTTATATGCTACACAAACGAAAACGATTATTATTGTTAGTGCCCACCATAGCCCATTTTATTTATTTTGTCTTCAACTATGACGTCCGACATATCTTATTATGTATGCAGGTATATTGTATATTACAAMAATTCTTTAACGATGGGGTTATACTGATCATTGTTTTCGACTGAAATAACGTATTTACGGTAATTGAACTATTATATCTATAGTCGATTAGACATTCGATTTTTAGTACAAATTGATTGCGCATATAACGCATTATGCGTATTAGAAAATAATACATTTGATAGGTGTATTATATATATTATGTATAATCTATTAAAACATAAAATACATCATTTTTAATTAACAGATTAACAAGTTCAAAAATCGTATTGTGCATTTAACTACGATAATTACAGTCTGAGACCTCAAGTACCATATCCTTTATTTAGTAATTTTAGATATTATGCTGTACTACATAATATTTACTGCATTTCAATATTTTTAATAATTTTTATACATTTGTTAGTGGTGGTCATTACGGTTACCGACATAATTTTTGTATTCCATAACCCTCATCTTTACATATTACCAGTAGGCAATAATACATAAACTAAATTGTTAAAAAATATAAAAAGGAAAAGAAATGACAATTAGTTTAAATTTAAGTTCCAAAAATATTTAAAACTGACTAGAGGAAGTTTGAGTTCAGAATTCAGGCTGACACAGCTGTATTACCGTTTCAAAAACAAATATTTCGTTTTGCAGTTTGTCAATAGTGATTTAAGTATTAGTAAATTACTTATGTAAACCATCATGCTGCATTATATTGTAGTAATATCAAATCAACCGAGGGCTGATTAAAACTGTTTATTCGGGTGTGTAGCTGCTGATTTATTTCTCTCTAGAGAAACAAAGTTTTTGTTTTAACAATCTCTGCGCTATAAGAATTAAGTCAAGATAAATAAGGCTTATTTGTAAAACAAATTTCTATAGATATGAACGGTATATCCAATTAAACAAATTGCTTAATTATTTATAAATTATAATATTTACRTTTTTATAATATTCCATAATAAAGTTTTAGCGAAGAGTCGATGGGTGGTATCCTTTGGGCGAACTTATGAAAATTGTACGTGCAGCATAGCAAATTTGCATAGATAATATAAGAATATAGATAGACCACGAATGCATTACAACGCAAGAGGACGCAGTGTTTAATGAGGAAGAGGGAAAAACGGTTTATYATTCCTGGATTTTTATATGTTATGTTATATAATATGTATTATGTATATGTGTATTGTATAACCTCAAATGGCTTAATATAATTCCCTTAATAAATAAATAAGGTTTTATATGGCCTATTTATTAGTCTATTATTTATGCAAATTTGAGATTAGCAGATCCAATTTTTAGTTGCTAGTTTTTATGTGTTATTAGAGAGCATTAATAGATTATTTAACTTAAAAGTAAAAATATTTCCTTGGGCACATCAATTTTARAACAATAAGATGTGTTTTATAGRTGTTTTAAAATTTTAGTATTTKACATAGTTAGGTGTAACACAACTAAGTTTTAAATTAAAATATCAATAAAATTGGTGATTATAAATTAGGTTTCCTATAGACACTCCTTAACTTTTAAGTTATATGATAGGTTAAATACTTAAATCGCTTAAACAATATTAAACTATAACAAAACGATATTGGTTCTACTATACCCACATTTTCTGACAAACACATGCGGATTTGGCGTATTGTTTTAAAGTTTTAAACTCTTAATATGGGTTTAAATGTTTAATATAGCCCCTGATTTTTAYACTCTCATTCTTAGAAATATATATTAACACTTTGTTTGAATGGTGAGTACTCAGAGTACTTGAGTTGGTTCGATTTTTGTTGTACACCAATCACATTCACGTAGTATCCTATGTATTTGTATGGATACCTATAATATTTTATTACTTTGCTAGTAATAACTAATGTGACATGAGTAATAATCGGATTTTTACTGCCGATGAGATTAGGTTAGCAAAATACGTCTGCCTGGCTGATTGAAAAGCGTGTTCGTTTTTGTTGGTCTCAGGCTCAATATCTATATCTTTGTAACCACAATTTTACTATCATGTTATTATATATATGTCATACGACATTATATGAGCTTAATAAGGCTTTGGAATTTGAACTCGTAACTCTCGTAACCGGTGCCGTGCTTAACCAAGTACCCATGTTTTCGGAAAAAAGTGACGATTTCTTATATCATTATTTATAATCATTGTACAGTAATAACTAATAACTAATAATATTCGAAGATGACGCCTCCTCTCCGAAATTCGTATAACGCGGACAGGTTGCAGTTCATACGTTAAACAATAATATATTATATAATTGTAGTCACTTGTATTTGGTTTCCAAAGATTTTATATTTTTTGGCTATGTGTTTTCTAGAAATGAAATTAAAGTGATCGTGTACGGTCAAGGAGTGGAAACGTTTTGCGCAGATATGAGTACACTAACGCAGTCGGCGCCACCACCGTCGTCGTCGTCGTTTATGCAGGTGTGTATACGGTTTCTAATTACGATAAACAATAAGCGCAACATTTATGTACGCAAATACACAATGTGCATAGGTAGGATATATTATATATATCTATACGTATAAAATATAGCGGTGAATGACGTACCTCTCCACCGCCGCCGGGAGAAACGGTCTTATAAATACGATTGTTTGACTCGCCGTGTATAACATTGCCGTTTTCTCTGCCGTGTATAACATTGCCATTTTTTTCTGCCGCATATACCTATATTTAGCTATACCATAGGTGCTATTATCCTCGCACGATAAAATATGCACAAGTCAAATAATAACAACAACAACGGTTTTTCG